TCCACGCACGCTCTACTAACGACTTGGCAAGGTGCAAAGTGTAATTTCATGGAATAACATCATTTTCACATTTTTCCTAAAGTAACTAGGATTGATAATTTATAAAAACATTTAGTTACTTTATAGATCGTTATACTTATTAATGAGGAATTAGTTACCCTATCCTACCCGATCGGCTAACGACCTTCCACTAGTCAAGAGTGCGGTGGGTAAGAATGGATACTTAATGGCGATCATTTTATAGGTCACTTCCTTAAACACCCCTTATAGACCGGCTTTGTGAATGAGACCAACTAACGGTAAGACTAGCTCATCTTAGACATATATACAATTATTAATCTTATAATATTATAATAGTATAAGGGTTGAATTTTTAAACTTGTAAAATTATAGGGTTTAGAATTTAAATATTTTAAAATTAAAACTATTAATCAAAAATTTAAATTCCAAAACTTAAGGGCAAGTTTTGAAACATTTCAAAACCTTCAAGATCAAATTTCAAATAATTTAATTAATCAAATAATTTGTGATTATCTATATTTGACCTAATTCAATTTATGGTAAGATAATTCATATTGAATAATAGAAATAATTTATTTTATCATATAAACAAGTAATTATCGTATTATTTAACAATTATCTTCTAATTGGATGAGGATAATCAATACCATATTGAAAAGACCGAATTTTATCAGTTAAAATGTTTATGGCAATTATCCCAACCCAATTCTAGTCAAAATCCCGAAAAATCTACTAACAGACGAGCCGACTCACCGAGTGACAGATTGCACTCATCGAGTAGCCCTGACTCGTCGAGTTCATCAAGGGGGACTTGACGAGTTCATCAGGCATATGCAAATTTTTTGACTTTTTTAGCTTTGAAAATTTAGTTATGCATCAAATACAATAGAAAACGACCTAGGCTCTAATACCACTAATGAGTTTTGAGCAAAACAACAATCCTATGGTGCACATGCAAACCCTAAAGCTTTGGATCTAGGTTTTTCTAAATGTACATGAAATAATCATCCAAAGCTTGTAAACCCTAATCTATCATATAGAAATAGAAATCAACGTAATGAAACAGGTAAGAATGTTACCTTTCAATTGTAGCTTAAAGATCCTTGCCTTTGAGAGCTTGGTATCAGAAGTGTAATACCTCTAATCGATCACAGACACAAAAACCAATCGGAGAATGTTAAAGACAGAGGATGAGGCTCAAAATTGGCTGGTGATCCTTCTAGGGTTTCAAGTGACCGATTTTGGGATGCCATGGGGTTCATTATATAGCTAAAGAATTTGGGTTTCAGTCAAATACCTAATCTGGTTTCTTAAGCCCTAAGCAGCCCATAGGAATCTTCCAAAATCCTTATCATGGATGAAATCCAGTGGGCTTCCACAAGGATTTCGTCCACCCCTATCCTTAGGGTTCCTCAGCCCATATTGCAATTATCTGATACTTACAATATCAATCCAATGAATTCAATTAACCTCTTTCGACCACAAAGTTAATTCTAAATTAATTTTTGACCAATATTAATTAAATAATATGATTTCTCTTTTAATATATTATTCACATAATATATTAATAAATCACATTTATCCTCTTTCTCCATTATTCATCCAGTCAAGTTGCTTTGATGAAGGCAACCCAAAAGGACCATGCTATAATGGGTCAAGTACATACCAAATATAGTTATGGGCTTAGACACCTAATCCAACATATGGAACGCCATGTTAAGGAATCATACCAGACTAAGCAAATAAAGGAAATAAGAAAGTTGATGGTAGTGAATGATACATATCGGAAGATATCGTAAGATATGTATCTTGCGCTTAGAATGTGTCTAATAAATATTACGTCCAGTATGGGAGAAGTACACTTTCGATTAGCTGAAAGAAAGAACTTTTGGTATAATCCATGAAGTTATCCCATCGTCTGGCATTTCCACCACCAATCGAGTTGAAGAAGAATTGATGGAAGGAGTCCTAGTGGAGTCTAGGGAAAATTTTATTATTGTTTGGACATATTCATATCTGTAAAATTATTTGGTGATTTTAGGAAATAAGAACTTGGAAAACTATGAGACAATACTTAGGATGAGTATGAGTAGGTGTGAATGGTAGTAGAGGCCTATAGTACTGGAAGCACAACACTCGCACTTGGATCAGGGAAAGTGACAAGGTTACCAAGGCGCTTGTAGTTGATTCTGTTTGATTCATATCTGTCATTACCATTTTTCGGTAATGATTAAGAAGATGATTGTTATTCTGACCCCATTGGTCATATCAAATCGATTCCGACTAAGATGAGTATGTTACGTGGTTCATAGAACCAAATTCGATGTAACATCTGACTTAAGCTAGAAGACCGAAGTAAAAAATAATCGGTACGATCAATAGAAGTATAACAATCATTGTTAAAGTAAGAAGCTTGTACTTAGAAGTGCTACATGCTAGAAATTGATTATATCACATTAGAAAAAGAAAGAAGGTATATTCCATTTTGGAATTTGGCTCTAAAAGACCTGAGTCTAAGTATTGCATCATAAGATGAATGGTCATTAGAACATGACCCATCGATCTATTATGGTAATCAAACGAAAGAAATTATCTTAAGCATGTTAAGAAGAAGAAGGACTTTCCAATGAGTATCGAGATTATAACTCGAAGGTTACAATTGAAAGTCCAACATAGGAAAAAGAGCAAGTGCAAGATTAAGCACCACTAGTAGTCAAGAGTTAGATACTCATTCGAAGGAACACTAAAGTTATGATTATTACCTAGGATGAAGAGATAACTTATGGAGTCATTATATACACCATGTTTCAATGATGATTCTAGGACATAATCATCCTAAGGGGGAGATAATTGTAACGCCCACAGATTCGGGCTAGTCAATTTAGAGAAAATAATCGTCAAAATATGGCTTTTTGATAGAAGAATACTCAGAGTAAATGATCTTAAACAAATTATAGTATATGTTACAAGGGTTCCGTACATATAAAGAATGCCGAAATCCGAGTTATAATGAAGAATTTATGACCTATCGAAGTTTTACAGCTAAACCGACACGGCACCACGTAACGTAAAAAGTGAATTTTTGATAAATTACTTTTTAACCTTATAGATCTAAATAAAAGTCGTAGTATACGTTAAACCGAGAATAGACATAAAAAGAACGTCCAAATATGACTTCGTATGAGAAAGTTATGATTCTTAGGGTAGATCCTTAAGAAATAAAGAAGATAATGGGATGGGTAACCGGGTTGATTGTTTGATAATTAAACATAATAATTATATTATTGTGGGTTGAATACCCTATGTACTCACCAAGTTTCCCAACCTGACCTACTCAATTTTTTTTATATCACATGTGTTGATATGAATCTGCATTACACTGAGAGATTAAAGGAGATGTAAATCACTAGTGTAAATGAATGTAAGGTCTATTTATGTTTATGTTTTCGTATTTACGATGACATCCCAAAGTTTTAATCTAAACAAAAATATATTTCATCGAAAATGCTTTGATGATATATTTATCATGTTTTTTGGGAACAAATTCCGCAATACAATTCTTTAAAATGAATACTCTAATTTTCAAATAGCATAAATCATAATTTTAAAATAACCGTGAATTTGGGGATGTCACACCCCTAGATTATGAGCGGGTCGTCTCCTCGCCAGTCTGTAGGTTAGGGATCTTTGGCTTAAAACGTTAAGCATTGCATGGACCTGGTGAGACTATCTACGCCTCCGTGCTCTTCCTGCCTTCCCTTCTATGACCTAATCATCAGGATTTCGTGAGGTTGGTCACGCTCCTTTGCTACATCCTTTTCATTTTCGACAACGCACGGAGGCGCCATGCTACCTCTATGAGATTTCCCTTTAGTTGTTTCTCCTACATTTCCCTTTTTAATATTGAATAGTTGATGGTGTCGTGTGTCTTTCTCTTGTGGTATTCATAGTACCATCCCATGCCTCCCTTCATTGGTTGTTTGTTAGAGAGTGCATAGACGTTTGGCCACTTTCCTCTTCTTTCACCTCTTTAGAGTCGCCTAAAGAGACCTTGTGGGGGCTTTCCTCACCCGAAGTGTCTGCCACCACCTGGGTTTTCTGGGTGGCGCGACGGTGAGCTGTAACACTTTGTGGCTGAGGTGGTCATGGCGTTCCAGTATACTTGCTTTGTTGCTTCTCCTTCCTCTTGTCCCAGATAGCGTTTGACTTTCACTTTTAGCTCTGTTCACGTTTGGGGTTTCTTTCCCATGAGCTTCTAGGACAGCGGTCTCGGGAGGAGGCCCCACGTGAAGGTGCCTTCTATTAACCCTTTTTCATGGCCTGGGACGTCTAATGTGGCATTAGTGAACCTGGTGAAATATTAACCCTTTTGTTGAGGCGTTAGCGTTCGACCTTCACTATTAACCCTTCTGTTTGCAACTAATGATTGAGTGTGAATCTCCCTTGTACTTATGCAATTGCATGAAATTTGTCAAGAAAAGATACTTTAGTTGGCCAAAATTGTAGATGCTCCCCGGCCGTAACATCTTGAACTATGTTCCTACATTGCCAACTAAGCTTGTTGGGAAGTACGTACACTATAATCTCTCATCCAATTTAACGAGGTCATCGTTCACTCGTTAGTATCGATATGGCTATATGTGTCTGTAGCTCCATTGTAGGTCTTGAAGTGTGGTAACTCTGATGTACTTGGGATTTTCTAGTCTAGGAGCTCCTTGGAAAATGAAGATGTTACACTTCACGATAAGTAATCTTGGTTAGGGATAGAGAACACACCTTGTGGGTTATACTGTTAGGTGGTGAGATATGGTTGCATTAGCATGTTATTGTATGTCAACAGGTGCCTAGGGTTTGTTAAATAAAAGGTTTGTTGCTGAAACGACAAGGTAAGTGTTTGGGTTGATAGGAGTGGTGGGTTTTGTGTGAGTGATCCATTTGACATGAATGGTTGATGTTGTGGGATTATGGTATTGAAAGGCATGTTTGTCACAAACGGAGGTGTCTGGAAAACCATCGGATGTTCTCTCACCATTTGGTGTAGGGGAGGTGTTTGTGAGATAACCAAAATGCTAGTGACATTGTCCACCTTTAGTGGCGTTGTGTTGCTCGAGACCACCGTCAGCTGTGGTGTTTGCGTGGAGGCGCTTTATGCCATTAGAGCGGCGGAGGATATTAGTCCTTCGGCTGTCGGCCTCCATAATTCGATTGTCGGGGAAATGGTTATTATTGAGCCACCTTGTTGCGATGCTTCATTGGTAACTGGTGTGAGAACTGGGGTGATGACTGGTTCCAACGACATCATAGGCCTAATGGGGCTTGTAAGTGTCTCTCCAGTCCCGCCTGTGTCGTCGGACGTCATTTTCGGGTGTTGAGGAGTGTGCTTTTAGTTTGTTGTTCATCACACTACGGATGGCGACAAATAATGCAACGTGGACACTAGACGATTACGCCTTATGCACTTGATGATTCCAATGAGCCTACAACATCACAATAAGAGGAAGATATCAGCCATTCTCCGGGAGGAGGCCCTCAGAAAAACACTTTGACGGTCAATTCAGCGGATAGACTTGGGTGTATTCTAGAGTAAACTAGGAGAGAACGACTTACTTTCCAAGGCACCAGAGGTGGCCTTTTAAACTGATGCCTTCCCTTAGGCCGTACAGGAAAAATGTGCCAAACCCGATAGGATTGGGGACGCTGATTGGGTAGTCGTGATCCTTGATCTGTCAGAGCCAACGACAGGTTCAGGTGGTAATGCGATGATCATCTTTCTTGTCACCTGGAGCGGTTATAGTTTGTTGGGGAGTGAAAGGCGCCCCTGGCGAGGCTGGGCATTCTCCGCAGGCCCTATGCTCTTAGGGGCATCCGCGAGCATGAGGTTCCGTCAGGCTTGTTCCGCTAGACGCGGCGTGCCTTGGGGACTTTCCGATGTGTCTGGGAAATTAACCATTTGCACTTTTTGATTCTAAACCAAGGCCTACGATGATTCAGAATGACTTGGTATAAAATTGATTCTTGTAAAAAAGAGTTACAAAATTTTAGTTGTAGATAATAATATTATATTTGAAGCCTTTTATAATAGTTTTTGCCCTGATAAGAAAGAACCCATTATAAATCTAACAAGAAGAAATGTTAAAGAGTAAATTGCAAAATTGGTGTTTACTGTATTCCAAAAAATGTATTTTGAGTCTATTCTTTTTATTTGTATGGTTAGTTCAAAATCAATACATCTGTCGCCGATTGCACCATCTCCATCCATCCATGCTGCCTGCAACTCAACGTCGCTCAATCATTGATTCTCCTTCCTTCTCTCATTTATGTCCTGGAGGCGATGTCCTGGTCGATGTTTCTTTGGATGTAAGTCGAATTAGAAGGGTGGAGACAGTGGGCGCATAGGGAATCGACAGATCTTACAACTCATCGACGGAGGCTTTGGTGGAGGCGGTGTCGCAGCTGAGGGGTATGGTCGAAAAGGAAGAAGAAGGTTTATCATATCGTAATAAAAAAGATATATTCTTGATTTTTGGAGTTGGTGGAAACATTTGAAAGCAGTAGTAGATGAGGTGGTGGAGAAAGGTTCCAAAAATTATAAGAATGAACTGTGGGAAAACAGACAAAAAGAGAGCAAGATTAATAAAAATAATTGGTCTAATAGAAACAATCTACTGTTCCTAAGGTGTATATATATATATATATATATATATATATATATATATATATATATTATATATATTATATATATATATATATATATATATATATAGTTAGATTCATGTAAAATGGCTAAATTTTGTAAGGCCGTGAGATGCAATCATAACCATTCATTTTGTAGATAAAAAAAACATTTTTAAAGTGCAAAATAATTAAAAATTTTCAAAAAAAAAATTAATATATTATTTTTGTCATTTATATTTTCCAAATAAAAATTTAATAAAAATACCAAAAAAATAAAAAAATATATTAAAAAAATACTGTTTTTTACATATTCTAATAGAATATTAGAATATTCTTGTAGAATATTAGAATATTTTACATCTCTGACAAATCTAGTAAAATATTTTAATATTTTAAAAAACAAATTAGAATATTTACAGTGTAGTATTCTATTAGAATATTTCACGTATTTTAAAAAAAACGGTAATTTTTTTTTAATTTTTTAGGTAAAAAAAGTGACAAAAATAATAATTAAAAAAAGAAATTTAGGGTTTTTTTTTTATTTTGTATTTTAAATTTATTTTTAGATTATGTTTTACGATCTTATAAAATTTGTATGGTCTCAAAATATATATATATATATATATATATATATATATATATATATATATATATATATATATATATATATTTCAAAATTACAATTTTGATGCAAATTTAATCTATGTAATATTCCAAAAGATACAATTTGAGTTAAGGTGACAGTTAACTCATGAAACGTTGAAGTTTGAATTTTAAATTCAGATAAAATATAAAGTTAAACCGTATATTCTAGAATATCACATAAACCAATTTTACAATTTATCTAGATTGACGTTTGAATGCGGTAATTTAAAAGAATCATTTTTAAACTCATATAAAATTAGAAAATCAACCGAAGTTATAATATGTTAGATCATTATATTTAAAATTAAATAATAATTATTTTATGGATATATATTTTTTACAATTATAAAAAATAAAAATTATTTTTATGGCCTGTTCAAATCCTTGTTGGAAATATAAAACAAAAAAAATATAATTGTGATGTGGGTAATCGGAATACTTAGTGAGGATTCGATGTGGGGCTTGAATTTGAACGAGCCACATATAAGCCATCAACGCCGCTTCCTCCTCTCTGTTGGTGGTGATGGTGGATTTGTGGTTCAATTGCGATTGCTTGTTAAATGGGACCTCCTATGCTTTTGCATAAACATCTAAAATAGTGGCGATGATTTATTGATCTGTACCCACCAATGACATCCATACCTTCACATTCTTTTCCTCTAAAACAAAATTTAAAAGCAATATCATTCTCAATTTCATTTAATGTGAAAAAAAGCTAATTTTCTTGCAACTAAAGTAAAAAAAACAAGGAAATATGACTAATTAATATAATTAATTTTCGGTATATATATATATATATATATATATATATATATATATATATATATATATATATATATATATATATATATATATATTATTTTTATTTTATTTTATTTTTTTTGTATGCATCTAGATAACAAACTTTTTGAAACTGTTCACATATGATCATTATGATCTGCTGTAGCAGGTTACATCTGACTACAGTAGATCATAATTGTTACATGTGAATACTTTCAACAAGTTCGTTACCTAGATGTATACAAAATAAAAATAGTTACCTAAATATTAAGAGTAAATTAGACGAATGGTCCCTGTGGTTTGGGGGAATTTGTGCATTTGGTCTCTAACTTATTTTTTTTAATTCGGATGGTCCCTACTGTTTATTTTTGTTGCGCTTGGTCCCTATCTTATCCAAAAAGACTATTGTGTCCTTATTAATTTATTTATTTTAATTAATTTTCTTATTTATGTATTTTTTTTATATGTTTAAAAAAACTAATAAACGCCACATATATGTATCTCCTCAGCATTTTATCTCTCATCATCCTCAACTTTTATTTATTTTCCATCTTTAATGACATCGACGTCTTCACCATCCATTTTTTTTCGATCCTTCAACTCCAGTGAACCAATACCACAACCCACTAAAGTGAAGAGACAATGTGTTATGATGTTTTTTCGCCAGAGTTGAAGGGCAAAAAAAGGATGATGATGACTTCCATGTCACTAAAGATGGAAACAAAATAGAAGTTGAAGATGATGAGAGATGGGATGGTGACCGATGCGACTCAGATTAAATTTCTCAAATGTGGTTTCAGATTTACGGCGAGAAGATACAGATGGGGGTCTATTAATTTTTGTAAACATATAAAAACAAATACATAAATAAGAAAACTAATAAAAAAAATTAATAAGGGCACAATAGTCTTTTTAGGTAAGACAAAGACTAAGCACGCAACAAAAATAAATAGTAGGGACCATCCGAGTTAAAAAAAAAAAAAGTTAGAGACCAAACACACAAATTCCCCCAAACCATAGGGATCATTCATGTAATTTACTCTTACTTTTGGTTTTGTTCATATTTAGGTAACTATTTTTTTATACACATCTAGGTAATGAACTTGTTGAAAATGTTTACATATAACCATTATGATCTGTTGTAGCTAGATGTAACTTGTTATAGCAGGTCATAATGGTCATATGTGAACAGTTCCAAAAAGTTTGTTACCTAGATGTGTACAAACAAAAGATAGTTACATATATGCGAACAACCCGAAAAGTTAATTACCTTAGTAAGTTCTATTCCCAAAGAACAATTACTAATGGGTAAATTATACCCAATATCATTTATAGTATTCCATACCTTCCTATTCTTTTTCCACCAAAAAGCTTATAACCTACAATTCTAAGCAGTAGAGCTTTAAATTTTGTTTGAAAAAGTGATGTAATTTATAAATGTACTAGAACATATGTTGTGTCGACGTTCTAAAATATATAATAAGTTATAAATAACCAGAACTTATAATTCAAGCTTATTATTTTAATCTCAAAATAAAACAAAAGACTTCATATTTATAAGGATGGATGTGATTGTCCCCTTTTTTTGTTATTAGCCTTTTTTGGAAATGGAACTTCCCTAACGAGGGTTTTCGGGCCAGGTTTAGCGCACCGATTAATGTCCCGCTGCAAATATGAAGCTTTGCATCATGTCCCGGAGTCACTGCAGGCGAACCTCCATGACCACATGTTGATTTTAGGTTAATAACTAAGCATAGCTTGGAACCTAAGTTGATTTTATGTTTGTGTAGAATCAACATAAGTCAAAAGTCTAAGGCTTAAACTATAAAATATTACATTAAATAATGTTTTCGGTCTTAGAAAACAGAAACAAAGGAGTTCACAGCCAAAGAAAATCAAGAACCAAGTAGATTTCGGCCAAGAATCTAATCCAAATAGAGTTTACGGTTGGAACAAATCAAGAACAAGGGTTTTCGGTCAAGCATGATCGAAAACACCATTTATTGGGCCGAAAACCCAACTTAAAGTCCTTAATGGACCGAAAACCCAAGGCCTAAGGCCCATTATGAACTGTGAACCACCCTTATATATAGTTTCAACCGTGAGCCCAATTCATTTCTCAAATTTTCAGTTGTGACACAGTCCCATTTATGCTCTCAAAACTTATCCGTAAACAGCATATATTCATAAGATTCTTGCCCAGATCTTCTTATTTTCACGAAGAATACCAAGAACATTCATCCATATCTTCAAATCTTCAAGCTCCGACCGAAAACACTGAAGAACAAACCGTAAACCCCCATTTGCTCACCGAAAACTCCTTTCAACACTTCAAATAATTCAAAATAATTTTGTAAGTATTCCTTACGTAATTAAAGTGTTGTCTAAAACTTTAATTATTATTTAAATCATTATTTAACATATTGTTTAAATTAATATCTTATTAATTTAAATACGACGTTAGATACAGTCATTTTTAGGATACCATTATTCGCACATACGCTTACTCAGAGATCGTCTCTACAGCTCGTTATTCAAACACAAACGCGCATTCGAGGTGAGTTCATACCCCTATGTTTTCACTATTTTTCAAATTTTTAGGGGGGGGGGGAGGGGAATACAAGTAAAACACAAGGATTCTTGTAACATCCGAATTTCCAGGTATGATAAAATGAGTATTTATTTTCGAAGTTATGAGGGGTAACTCGACGAGTTGGCGCCTTAACTCGTCGAGTAGGATCGCGGCTTGGTGATGTGGAAAATGAATGGACTCGACGAGTCGGGAAGCTGACTCGCCGAGTCAGTTCTGTTAACAGAAACCCTAATTCTCTCGGGCATGGGCCTATTTAAAGGAACTTATAGCCTCCTTGGCCCCTTCCCATCATTGTCTTCGTCCCTTGAGAGAAACCCTAGAGCTATTTGTGAGCTGTGACATCCCCAAAATCACGGCCAGAAAAGACCGATTTTGTTTATGCTTTATAAAAATCAGAGTACTTCATTTTATAAAAAGGTTGCGGAATTTGTTCCCAGAAAAACACGATAAATACGTTATTAAAACATTTTCAAAGAAACGTATTTTTATTCATCTTAAAACGTTTGGGATGTCATTGTTACTACAGAAACATAATCATAAACAGAACTTACAATTATTTACACTAGTGATCTACATCTCTTTAAATCTCTCAGTGTAATGTCACTTCATATCGCCACCTGTGATGTAAATAAACTGAGTGGGTCAGGTTGGGAAACCTGGTGAGTACATAGGGTTTTCAACCCACAATAATATAATTGTTATGTTCAATCATCAAACAATTAACCCAATTACCCATCCCCGTTATCTTCTTTACTCCTAAGAGTCATCTATTCTGCATTCGTTTATTCCAAAGTCCCTTACTTCCAG